AAGAACAATATTCTTCAAGGATTGATGCTGATCATCATATAGCTATAACATCTCCTCTAGGTACTCTCCCATTTAATTTCGTTTCAAATACCGTCTTCGATTATATGCACTTAGTTTGTCTCGGTATTATGGAGAAAATTTTTCAAGCTATTGTAGATGGTAGGTTCATCACATCAGCCAAGATTTCTTCAGACCAACTTAAACTATTAGAACAAAGATTCGAACAAGTAAAAATATATTGTCCTCAAGATTTTGCTCGGAAGCCTGTTAATGTTCTCAAACATCATAAATTCAAAGCCACCGAGAATCGACAAATAGTTTTTTATAGTGGCCCTGCTCTGTTTTATGGTTTCATGAACCCGGCTGTTTACAAACATTTTCTTTTATTTCATGTAGCCATGAGGCTTCTTGCGGCTCCTTCGTGTACCTCTGATTCGATTGATTTTGCTGAAGAATGCATCAATATATTTGTAGAGACCGCTGCTAATGTATATGGTATAGCATTTTTATCATATAACACCCATGCTTTGACTCATATTCCCGATAATGTTCGAAATTTTGGAGCATTAGATAACTACTCTGCATTTCCTTATGAGAATAATATAACATATTGTAGAAAATTATGTAGAAAACCAAGCCAACACTTACATCAGATAGCAAGGAGACGGTTAGAGAATTGTCAAGTGAATGCGAAGAAACATGTCGAAAAAAATGTTTTAAAATTTATCAGTAGACACTCGTTAGGTCCAGAATCGTCTGTTGATTTTCGTTTCAGTTATAACGGGGTTTTAGCTCGTGCTCTTTCCGGGCTAAATCAGTTATATAATAAATAGTTCTCGCGGATTAATATTTTAACTATCCAAGGCAACCCTGTGCGCCAGTGCGAACAGTGCTTGGGTCCAGCCGCATCAGCTTGCCTCCTTCCTTACGTAGAAATTCGGCTCGCGGAGAGTGTCGTGAGCCACAGGTTACTTGGTGAGGGACAACCTAAAGAGTCTCGCGGCGAAGTAGTTATACAACAGGGCAGGTGTATCGGAATAAGTTGCTGCGGATTTTGGTAGAAACGAATCTTGTATTTCAGGCACTTACGAATACATACAAGCGCGCGTGGTGGCGAAATGTGAGCGGCAGCGAACAAAACGACGACGCAACGCAGCGCGCCGATCTTGTCAGCAACCGAGCAAGATCGGACAACGAATTCGCTTAAAGCGGCTCGAGGCAAGACGTAAGCCGGGCGAAAAACTAAAGCCAAAAAAAAATGCAGTTAGCAAGCAATAGGAGAGAGAGAATCGAGTAGGTACTTACAGTAGTTGTCGTCGGTTATTAGAACGGCAGCAACGCACGAACAATAGATCGCGACCACGCTTACTCTTGCCCTACACTCGCGCGGGCGTTCTCGCTTCCCAGCCTTATAGCTAACGGAATCCCTGTCAACATCAGCTATGCGCCTTCGCTTATCGCTGGCGATCTTTGGACTCGTATAATCGCCACTGCGTACTCGCTTACTCCCTCGAGATCTCTCGTAACGCAAAAGAAAAGGGTGTTACTGTCAAACTATGCTAGCGTCCGTACTTGTCTCTGCTCGCATGCCAACTGACTCATTACGCGCTCTCCTTCTCTCTCTCCTTCGCGATCGCGGTCTCTCCGCGACATCCGCGCTAGGGACTATCGATAGTATAGATCGTAGGGCTCGACTCTTACCTTGTTCGCTGACATTTCAACTGCGCTACAAATTACAAATTAGTATAATGCATGGTAAAGTATAAATATGATTAATAAACAAACTGGCTGCAGGGAGAGAGAGACATAACGAGAATGCGACTCGTTATACAGTTAGTATAGAAAAGTTGTATGTGGTATTCATTTATTTCTTTTACAGCAAGATAATAAAATTATTTTTAAAAAATGGTTCCATATGTATCATAGAAAATATAATCAAATTGGAAAATGATGATTGTTGCCTTCTCGTGAAGCTTTTCAAGAATATTGAGAATATTTTCAATTTACCTTGTAATTCTGGGAGGAGCTTGAGCGCTCGACGAGTACAGACGTGCCTACGTGTGCTCCGTTCTTGTGTATAGTACCGCGTGTTTAAATACGAGTTTGAGGTTAGAGGGCTTCGGCCCTCTGATAAGTGTTACTCGTTTCTCTTTTTATATAAGTGAAGTGAAGTGCATATTGATAAAAATTTACCGCTTTGCGGTAAATTTTTCACCATGATGAAGGGAGATCACAACACGAGTGCGACTGCTACTACAGTTCCCTCGTCAAATGAACCAGTGCAAGTAACAAATAGAGAAGCAACTGCGACTGCAGCTCACTCTCAACCCAACGTGACTGTCCAAGATAACAATGAGAAAAAAAAAATCAGAATATTCTCACGTTTAATCTTTCTGAATTTAGCCCTGATTACGCCGATGCGGCAAATAGTGAAAAAAAAATTGAAAAAGAACAGATTCTCATCATGATGTGTGAAGAGGACACAACTACTGTCGATTGTCTTCTTGCGCTGTGCGATTTTGCTGTTGAGAAAAATATTTCGTACACAGATAAAGACTTGTTGTTTTTCCACCGCAAAAAAAACCCTAATCGCTTAACAGTGACTTTTTCTGACAAAAGTTTTGTTTATGCAATTACGGATAGCCATGACTTTCTAATGATTAAAGGAAAAAAGGTATACGTACGACCTTACGTAAGTAGTTATAAACGTATCATTATGTCAAACGTCCCGCCTTTCATATCAAATAAACAGTTGGAACGCATCTTTGATAAAATGCAAGTTCAGAGAAACTCTAATGTTTCTCATGTCAAGGCCAGCGTAGAAAATGAAAGGTTCAAGCACATGTGCTGCCACAGGAGGCAGACATACTACTGTGGGCAAAAAGTAAGGTGAATTTGTTTGTAAAATGAAAAATCTTTATTTATTCTTCTACATCAATGTCATCCCCTTCGAAGTAATCCCCTCCCGATAAAATACACTTATGCCAACGTTTTTTCCAATCCTCGAAACATGCCAAATAGTCCCTTTCCGGTATAGCCATCAGCGCCTTCTTCGATTCAGCTCTTATCTCCTCAATCGACTCGAAACGTGTTCCCCGGAGTGGTCTCTTGAGTTTTGGGAATAGCCGAAGTCACACGGAGCCAAATCAGGCGAATACGGTGGTTGCGGAACGATATGCGTCGAATTTTTGGCGAAATGGCCACGAAGAACGAGTGCAGTGTGAGATGGTGCATTATCGTGATGCAAAAACCAAGAGTTGTTGGCCCATAATTCTGGTCTTTTTAGACGAATTGCTTCACGCAAACGACGCATAACGCTCAAATAATATTCCTTATTAACAGTTTGGCCGGGTGGAAGGAATTCATAGTGCACCACACCACGAAAATCGAAGAAAACTGTCATCATGACCTTGATTTTTGAACGACTTTGACGTGCTCTTTTCGGTCTGGCCTCGCCTTTAGCACGATATTCGCTTGATTGGTCGGTTGTTTCAGGGTCGTAAGCATAAATCCAAGTCTCATCTCCCGTAATCATGCATTTGAGCTTGTCCTGATAGTCAGAAAGCATTGTTTCACACACATCAACGCGGCGACTTTTTTGCAAGAAATTGAGCGTTTTCGGTACCAAACGAGATTTGACTTTTCGTAGGCCCAAATGGTCTTTCAAAATTGTTTTCACAGATCCTTCTAATATTCCGATCATATCAGTAAGGTCTCTAACAGTCAACCGACGATTTTCGAGCACTAATTCCTTCACTTTATTGACGTGTTGGTCATCTGTTGACGTCGATGGTCGTCCGGAGCGCTCCAAGTCATCAACACGTTCTCGACCCTCTTTGAAGTCTTTGTACCACTTATAAACATTTTTCTGCGACATTGTAGAATCACCAAAGGCCTTCCGCAACATCCTCAACGTTTCCGCAGCCGAAATTTCATTCCGCAAACAAAATTTGATGGCACTTCTTTGCTCAATTAAATCAGACATTGTAAAAATCGAAACATGCACTCTTGGTCGTTTGGTAAACACAAGCGTAAATATATTACTGATGATGACATTGACATGAAATTTGTCCCAGATGTCATTCGCAGTCCTACCAACTCAAGAAAAAAAGAACTAGCCCGAAATGTTAAGCCCGCGAAGTTTAAATTGAAAATTCACCTTACTTTTTGCCCACAGTAGTACGTCAAAAAAGATGACAAAAGCAAAATTCCCAGTGAAATCAAGCTTAACCTCGAAGACACAGATTTCCATATTTATATCACGGACGATACAGTAAAGTGCTTCGTATACGGCAATGTCGGCCATTTAGCCAAGAAATGCCCAAACGTTATCTCACACACACAACACGCTAGCCATGACGACAACACGCTCTCCGAAACTCTCTCCTGTCGAGCCAGCTACTCCCGTTCCAACCAATGTTTACAAACAACAACACTTCGCCAAGCGCGCGCTGTTGGACTCTACAAGCGATTCTTCCTCGTTCACGAGCGACAAATCAAAAGTAGTAAACAGACCAAAAAAGGTTATTAAGAGACTAAAAGTCGAACCCACAGCAGATGCACCAGATATCCAAAAAGTACATGAAGAGTTTGACAAAGGCCTTGAAAGCTGCCGAACTCACTTTGATTCTTCTGACACAGAGTTTAGCTTTAAGTTCGATCAATTGATCAGCTTTATTAAGGACACATATAAGTGTGCAAGAATAATAGATGTAGTATCGACATTCCCTGCCGAAAAAGACGAAATTATTCAAGCACTCGATATCATCTATCCACATGTCAGTGGTTCCGTGACGAAGTCAAGAATAACACGCATCAAAACAAAAATAAACAAAACTAGCTCTATCTTAAATGAAATTTCTGTTTTTGAAGTGCCTAGTGATGAAGAAACGTCTGCTACTGAGTCTGAGCATGAATAACTTTTGCTCTGCTCTGTTTGTTTATATTTCTTCTCTTAGTTTCCGTTCTCAAATATCTTCATTCCTCTCCTCTTTACAAAAATGGCTACATACACAAGCAAGCTCAAAATTCTATTCTGGAATGCACTGAGCATCAATCAAAGAAAAGGTGATACTCCCACCCTATTAAATAACGTTGATATCTTTATCTGTGTCGAGTCATGGCTACAAGGAAACAATAGCTTCAATATTTCTGGCTTTAAGTCATATAAAAAAAGCAGACAACATTCTCGCGGTGGTGGTATTTTGTATTTAGTGCGTAATAACATTCAGTGTGAAGTGATAGAAGATGTTAATACTAATATTGAAAATCTCGAAATATTAGCCATTAAAGTTAAGTGTACATCTCCGCACTTAAATATAGTAACGTGCTACAGAGTTCCCAAGCCTGGCCACTCAAACACGCAAAGTGAATGGAACGAGATAGTAAATTTCACCGATCTGAATCCAAACACTTTACTGTTTGGCAACTTCAACGCACACAACGTGAGATGGAACTGCGAGAAAACCGACTCAAATGGTGAGAGATTTGAACAAGCTATAGACTCGAAAAATTTGTTCTTGCACAACTCTGACTCCAAAACGCATCTTGAAAAACGCAGCGGCAAGTTGTCAAACTTAGATCTAGCATTATCCACTATGTGCATAGCAGACAACATTGAGGTCAAAGTATTCGACGAAACACTCGGCTCAGACCACTTCCCCATACTTTTGTGCATCGATGTAAATAAAGTTACTTATGAAAAAAAGACATTTAAACTATGTTCCAAGAAAACTGACTGGAGTGTATTTGAGAGGCACATAAACGGAAGATACCACGCCTTTTTAACAATTGATTATGAAAATAAAACGCCTTCTCAAAAATATGACTTTTTCATCCAAGTTGTTAGTGAAACGGTCGAAAGTGCCACTCCACGCAAAAAGTGTTTTCGTAAGTACAAAAAAAGTAATCCTGTGCCGTGGTGGGACCAAGAATGTGACAGAATAAAGAGACTACGACGTGTTGCGTTCAAGAAGTGGAGGTTTACAAATCTTCAAAGTGATTTGATTATCTATGAAAAGTGTTGCGCCATAGCTAAAAGAACTTTTGCAAAAAAAAAAGAGAAAGTTTTAGAAAATTCGCGGAATAAATCGACTTCCGTATAAATTCCGTTCAAAAATAAGTGGGTAAAAGTTAGCAATACTAATGATATTAATAATGATGATTTTGAAAAAGTTAAAATTGAATGTTTAGAAAAAATTGCTCCTCCCTGGGCTTGCACAGATCCTGAATGGCTACCTAATTGTAAAAATAATGACTTTTTCGATAACATTTTTAACTTTTCTGAATTTAACATAGCCTTAGAATCATGTAAAAAGAAATCCTCCCCCGGACAGGATGGTATAGACTATCAAACTATACACAATATCCCAATTAGATTTCAACTCTTATTACTAGACATATTTAACGAAATGTATACAAAAAGTGACTACCCGCTCGCCTGGAAAGAATCCTTTTTGCACTTGATCCCTACATCTGAAGGTAAAAAAGCTCGTCCTATTGCTCTAACCTCGTGCATGTGTAAACTCTTCGAAACACTTGTTAAGAACAGACTTCAGTACTGGGCAGAGTGCAAAAAGCTCCTGCCTCAAAATCAAGCCGGCTTTCGCAAAGGTAGGTCTTGTGCGGATAATCTTACACACCTCATGTTAGAAGTTGATAGTGCGCTGAAGTGCAAACAAGAGGTTCTTGCAGTGTTTTTGGATGTAACTGGTGCATTTAATTTTGTGAATAGTGACATTTTACTCGAAATCCTTGCAAAGTGTGAATGTTCCGCGCAACTAGTTAAATTTATTAAATTTCTCACGCACGATCGGCATGTAAATACTAATGTAGAAGGATATGAGCGTTTAAAAGTACACAAAGGTGTGTAACGGTCCTATTTATGAGCTGTTTATTAAATGACTGCAACTAGTCTAACGTATTTATCTGTTTAGTCAAAACAATACATTAAGCGGCGCTACCTCACTGTTTACGCGACTGTATACAAATAAGAGTCGAGTCAAAACAAATAGCGTGACGTCACAAATAATAGACATAGATATAATGATCCATAAAGTTGAGAAAATATGTTAATTATAGATAATTTGAATATAACAAAGTATCGATTATATAGATTTTAACATACAGATTCACAATATCTCATTCAATTATAAATTAATAATGAATATCAATATATAAAGTTAATTTATTTATTAACATATGAAATATTAGAAAAATATAAATAATTTATATGTAAAATGAATAAGGATAGAACATGAGTAAGAATTGGTTTCATTAATAACAGCTAAATAACAACTGTTATTAATAAATAAACAATTAATAATTTATTTAAACAATAAGCTATATATAGAACGAAAATATTAAGTTAATACTTGATAATGACAATTTTATGATTGAGAAATCTTAGATAATTAATCTAATAATCGCATATTAAGATTAGAAGAAAACCGTTACAAATATGAAAAATTAGTCATAATTCAAATGTTATTAATTAATTTAAATAATTAATTTTGGAAAATACTTCCAAAATTAATCAACTATAAAGTTATATGAAATTTTAATAATTTTCTATTGTAAATAATGTAATATCACGTTAATTAACTTTATTAGTTAATAACTTTTGACGACACTATTGGCGATAATTGTATATTGTATAAAATCAACAAATAACTAATTCTGTAAAATTTACATGTGTTAAAAACTTAATATTAATGGTTATTTACTTGTAAATTAAGAAAAATCATTTCTCAAAATTCGCGAATGTCTCTCGAATTTTCGATGAAATCTCTCCTGCAATAATAAGCGGGAAAATTTATGTATAAATAGGCCCACCTTTGCACAGGCTAGATTCATTCACTTCTAGCCTTGCAAGGTGAGCGCATGAGTCTGAATAAACTTGGATTAATACCTAAGTTCTTTCTCTCATTGTGATTAACTAAGCAAGACTAACCTTTCCTTATAATTTGAGCTCGACTTATAGAACATCTCGCGCTATAAGAAACTTGGGTCGAATTATATCCTATCAAAGAAAGACTTTAGCTCTGCTTATGGGACAATTCGCACCATAAGAAACTAGGGCATTGTCTGACTTTCCTCGATATATTGCAATTACTTATGTATATTTGATTTACTTATTTATTATATTTGATTCATTATCTGTTCTCTTGACAATTAGAGTAAAATCATCGGAAACAAATTCTTACTCATTAGCTAGTTTACGAGAGTTCGAATTATTTTATTTATAAGTGATACGAATATCACAGGTGTACCACAAGGTGCTGTTTTGAGCCCCTTACTTTACATTTTATATGTTAGTAACATAGCAAACAATATCCCAAAAAACGTTACTGTCTTACAATTTGCAGATGACATTTGTCAAATTATAAAAACCACTGAAAAACTTCCTCTTGCTAAATGTAAAAAGATTATTGAAAAAACCACAATGTCCATTTGTGAAGATCTGTATTACTTGGGACTTGACCTTGCAAAAGAAAAAACTGACTTTTTACATTTTAATAACAAAAAAATATTACCTGGTGAAACGGTCTTAAACTTGAACGGCATACAAATCAAGTCTAAAGAAACAGTGCGCTTTTTGGGTATATTGTTTGATTATAGATTAACCTTCAAGCAGCATGTAAATAAAGTGCAAACTAAGTGTCACCAAGCCTTAAACATAATAAAGTTTTTGAGAGGAACGTGGTGGGGAGCCGATCCTCAAATACTCATAACACTGTACAAAAGCTACGTCCGTTCAATCATAGAATATGGTAGTTTTATATACTTTCCCAATTGTAAGAGTCGTCTGCTCAAGCTCGAAAAAATACAGTTCAAGGCCATAAGACTAGCTCTGGGATACAGAATGTCCACACCTACCAACATTTTAATTGCAGAATCCAAACTCCTATTCTTGACTGTACGTGCGAAGCTCTTAGGCGGTCGCTACTTAACAAATGTACTAGTCAATAGAAGCTCCTACATGCACGGTTACATTGTATATCTCATTACACCAAAAAAGAGAAAAAGACTCATTATAGACTGTATTGATAAAGTTAATGAGATTATTGGTAATGTTATAACCCACGAAAATTTATGCTTTTACAAATATGATTATAGCATACTTACTACGTCGATACCGCTAAATACTAAACTTGGTAAACAGTTAAAAAAATGTGACAAACCAAATGTTGTGATTGATGAACTGATTCAAGAAAGTAGCGCATTGGCAGTATATACAGATGGCAGTAAAATTACAGGAAGCGGATTCGTTGGCTCTGCCGCAGTTTGCTTTTCTCCCAAAATAGAATTAACGAATAGTATAAACTGTAACTCATCTGTGTATACTGCTGAATGCCTCGCTCTTAGCTCAGCCTTAGATATTGCTATGTGCTCTCGTGATCGCAACGTATTCATTTTCTCTGACTCCCTTAGCGCATTACAGAGTCTAGAAAGTACTAGACTTGATCCTTACACTAATTACATAATATATGAAATTAAAAGAAAGTATAACCAGTTCAAAGTTGAAAAACCCAGTCTTGATATAAAATTCTTTTGGATTCCCTCGCACATTGGAGTCAGAGGAAATGAATACGTTGATGAATTAGCTAAAACTACTACGAAAAAATCCTTTGGTTGTATTAGTAACATACCACACACTGACTATTTTGAACTATTAAAAAACCAAGCATTTACGCGAACTTGCGAAATCGTAAAGGAACAAGGTATTAGCAAAGGTGTTAAATACTTTCAACGATACTACCAAGAAAAAGCTAAACCTTGGTTCCACAATAAAAACATTAGTCGTGAAGTCATAGTTACTACAAATCGCTGTAGATCAAGTCATTATAACTTAGCAGAATCACTGGCAAGTATAAAGGTTGTCAGTTCACCTCTCTGTCAATGCGGACAAGCGAATCAGAGCATTAATCACATACTTTGGGAATGCAACCTGTTCAGTCAACATCGCTGTGAATTCTTAAGAGAACTAGCTAAGTTAAATTTACACCCACCACTCGATATTGATCACATTATTGCAACTCCAAATGTACTAGCGTGTAAAAGTATGACTAACTTTCTCAAAAAGTGTAACTTAAAAGTTTAAAACGTTCAATATTATTTTGTAAAAATTTATTTTTAAGCAACAAAATGTTAAAACACTGATATATGTAACACTAATATAACCCGGGAAGGGTTCAATAAAGTGTATAAACAAAAAAAAAACCTTGTATTTCTACTTTAGTTGGCGTTTTTTTAAGCTTAAATTTATCATCGGAAAGCAGATTAATTGGTTTCGATGAAGTGCAAAGTAAGGGCTTCAGAATGCCATATTGGCAAGGAATACCCACGTCTATTTGTATTTCCGAATGTTTTATTGTTGTCGAGATTCTGTCTTCACATAATTGCATGTTATATGCTTAAAATTTTACTTTTTAAATTCATTTAATTCTTGTTCTTCTATGGCTGCACTAAGATTGCGGAGACGTTTATTAACGTTTTTGATTATCTAAGTTTCCGTCAATGAAATTTGTACTAATTTCCAAATATATGTATAAAAAGGTGTATTTTCATTTCTTCCTTTGTCATATCTCTCTCAAGTCTACATCAACATATTTTTGTCTCAAAGTTTAAAATTTCATTCATCAATTACTAAATCTTACATTTGGATATAACTTTGATATATCTCCATCAATTTTTCATCCTTTCTTTTCTCATTTCCATGTTCCTAATCGTAACTCCTGATATAATTTATAAAATTCGTTATTTTTTTGCTATCGTATTTGTTACCATTGAATTTCAAGATGAACAAGCGTTCGAGTTCGAAACATTCTGGTGGGTTGGATCCAGAAATCGTTTCAACCGATATGGACCGGAAAATGTTGGCAATGAAGGCTAAATTAATGAAAGCGCCAGCACCAAGCAAAACATCGTTTGGACCCAACATTTGTAGGAGATCTTCCAGCCAAGGAATGAAGACACCAAACATGCAATAGAAAACAAAAACAAGTGCACATACTCATTCACTGAACACACCATAAATAGCACAACTGAAACATTCACACCAGACTTACACACGAAACGTCCATCAAAAAGCATTCAGTCAAAC